TATATATACCATATTCTGTATAAACTGTTTTCTTGAAGAATCTAATCAAAATGTGAATATTTTTGCTTCCTGAATCTTTCTGTAGTAAATTTGATATATTAAAAGTTTCTTTAGTCATTCTGAATTCCACCATCATGTCTTTTCTCTGTCTGTCATATCTTTTACATATTAATATTACATGTGCTATTGTTTGTTATTCCACAAAATTGACAGTTTTCAGTTTCATGTTTTTTTAAAATTATTATTTTAAAGGCTGTGTGCTGTTAAGTCCGGTGTGCCCACATCTCAATCTAGGTAATAATCTCTCATTTTTATTTCTCCTAGTTACTCTCATCTCTCCCGCTTTCCTTTGGAACTTATAAAACCATTTTCCTTTGTGTTCTTTGTTCCAATAAGATGCTCGGTTCCTGAGCTACTCGAGTTGATTCAAGTCCTAGCAATGTCTGAATCAGGTCCCACGAATCTGAAGTCTAAAGATGTTCATTTAAAAGAGGAAGGTTAGTGAAGCACTGCCAGGTGTTGTTTTGTCTTAACAACATTGTTGACGTCTGTCTGTTCTCTGGTGAGACACTCAAAGGATGATTTACTGAAAATCTAAAAATACATTATTTAAGAATATTCATTGATGATTCAAAAATAAAAAGTTTCATAATAAAGTTTAACCATAATGCTGAGTTTAGTTACGGTAAAATATTTCAACAGAAAAATCTATAATCAATTAACGTGGTTTCATAGTTAAATTTCAAGCAAATGATCAAAGCACAATAAATTACCTCATTAAGAAGAAAATGTTTCCTTATGTTTAAGAAAACCTATTATGGCTTTAACTGGAACAGAGTTCTGTCTCTTTAAAGGGGGTCTTCTGAGACCAAGGTCACCAAGGTCCACCTCGAGTGGACCACTACAGTAACTAGACATGGGTTTTTACGATGTAAAAACAAGTGTGCATTGCCATGTAGCATGGCTTTGCCTGCAGCAATGGACTTTCAGAATGAACTGTGACCAAATTCAAATGTGTTTTCTATACCAGCTTGTGCCTGTCACGTCAGCAGATGTTTGTAATTAAGGTAATTGTGTGACAATATGAAGTTTGAAGAGATTTTTTCTTAAAGTTGCATTAACAGGGTTTTGAACCCTGATCTCCCACATGAAAGTCCAAGACATAGACTATTAGACCAATGGATTTGTGGCAGAAGGTGGTGGCAGGGGTTGTTTTGAACAATTATTGACACAAAAATGCATATTACAACCATCAAGCAGTATTAAGACAATATTATAGTAAAACACCAAAATACAATCATATTAGTACTGTTTAAGTATCTGGGGATCTTGTTCACGAATGAGGGAAGAACGGAGCGGGAGATCGACAGGCGGATTGGCGCAGCGTCTGCTGTAAAGCGGGCGTTGTACCAGTTCGTCGTGGTGAAGAGAGAGCTGAGTCAGAAAGCGAAGCTCTCGATTTACCGGTCGATCTACGTTCCTACCCTCATCTATGGTCATGAGCTTTGRGTCATGACCGAAAGAACGAGGTCCCGGATCCAAGCGGCCGAAATGGGTTTCCTCCGCAGGGTGGCTGGGCTCTCTTAGAGATAGGTTGAGAAGCTCGGTCATCCGGGAGGGACTCAGAGTAGAGCCGCTGCTCCTCCACGTCGA